TTTTCATTCTCACTATTCTACTCATTTTCAATCACATATTCTTCAATAAAATAATATTTTTCATCACATTAATAACTTTTCCTTCATTTTTAACCACACATTCTCCATCAATCTACTATTCAATAATACATTCTTTCAAAAGAATGCGTCCGAGACACACTCTAAAAAGCTTACCTATAAGTAGATAAGTAAGTTTTGATAATCCTTTGGGACAATAAGTTACGTAAAACTAATTTCGAACATGCTCTTTGTAGTATAGAATTGGTGTTTTCACTCTGTATTTGTGTAACTGTATAAGTTATGTGAGCTCGTTTGGGGACAAAAAGTTACCTAAAAGTAACTTCCAAACATGCTCTCTTCAGTATATAATAGGTGTTTTCACTCTGTATTTGTGTGGCTGTGTAAGTTATGTAAGTATTTTTGGGGACAAAAGTTACTTAAAAGAAAATTCCAAACATGCTCATTGTAGTGTAGAATTGGTGTTTTCGCTATGTCTGAACATGTTCGGGGATGAAAAATTACTCATCAGTAACTTCCAAACATGCTCCTTGTCATATGAAATTGGTGTTTTCACTATGCATTCGTGTTTGTACTAGTAAGTGTCAGTTGGACTTTCATCGAAACTGTAAAAGTAGTGAAATATTTAAAGAATTGATTTAATAGAGTTTTTGGATTTCTAATTTTATTTCTAAAATCACAAGGAACAAATCTTTTGATAGTGATTTATTGATGTTTGGACTTGGCAGTTGCTTAGTATGAGTATATGTTTGTCTTGACCAAGGAACCTAGCTAATTAATTTAATTTTGGATAGATTGAGCAAAATTCTGACAAAAGTGCTTAAATGGCCGTTACTGGATTCTATGTCCATGACCACTTCAATGTGCATATAATCTATAAATGTTACCTAAGGATTTGGGTACAGGAAAGTTTTATTTATTTTTTTTCTAATAAAAATCTTCTGACATCTTTTAATTTTGGATAACAATCGGTTGTGGCAGTGCATAATGGGCATATGAAGAGAATTCATACAAGTTAAAATCCGAAGGCTTGTCGTACTTCAAAAACTCATCTTCATTTTCCCATTTGAATATAACAAATTCAAAGAGGGATCTTTATTCAGTAAAATCGCTGGCACATAGATCAATCAAAATTGATTAGTTCTTTCTCTGAGTACCTAGCACTCAAATAATGTGATTCAGTGCATATATTATTTCTCACAAGTTGTAGAATGAATCATCCATTTGGATTTTTATGTATCTTCTAAGCTTGCATTGTCTCATCTTATCTATTCTGATCTTGTTTCTGTACTGCAGATTAAGATGGTAGCTTTTGGGAAAAAGTTGAAGGAAATACAAATTCAAGAATGGAAAGGGTATGCATAATATACTTGTTTCCGGTTCAATTTTATAGTGTTTTATTTTTCTCTCTTGGCAACATATTCCGCACCTGAACAAGTTAGGATTCATTACAGTTGAAGTTTCTCAGTTGATAACTACAAAATGGTCAAATAAAATAATAGATTGACATGTTTTTTAGTTGGGAGATAGTAGAAATCTCTTCAAGTTAGGACAGTGTGTGTTACTGCTGTATGTGTTTGCCCAAGTGCAAGTAGAAAGGTGACTTTATGAGTAGGAATGAAGTTTAAATATAATTACCGAGCGAGTATAGAAACGCGAGAAGTTTTATACAACCACACTGTATTAGAATGTTCATGATCTCATTACTCATGCACACATTCTCCCCATACATTTTTGTACATTTAGATACTACATCAACTATAAGTTAATGAAGAAAAAAGTGAAGCTGTATGCTAATCAAATTGAAGCTGGAGCACTAGATCAGCAACAAGTTCTCAAGGATTTCTCGCAAATGCTAGATAATCAGGTATGTTAAAGATGTACAAAAAGTCAAAAAAATCATGGATTTATAATCTTCAAACCCGAAAATAAGTTTCTTTATTACTATTGCAGATTGAAAAAATAGTTCTTTTTATCTTGGAACAACAAGGACTACTTGCGACCAGGATTGCCCAGCTTAATGAACAGCAAGACTTTCTTCAGGAACATCCTGACATACCGAAAATATCCGAGCTTCAAGAAGCTTATAGAGCAGTTGGACTTGATCTTTTAAAGCTTCTCCATTTTGTTGAAATGAACGCCATTGGTCTGAGAAAGATCCTTAAGAAGTTTGATAAGAGGTTTGGATACAGATTCACTGATTACTATGTCAAAACTCGTGCTAATCATCCTTATTCTCAGCTTCAGCAAGTATTCAAACACGTGGTAATATGCTTAAATGGAGACAGATTCCCCTTCCGTTTCTTGTCCTTATTATGATACCACTTTTATCTCACCATCATTGATTACACGGTCAAGCTTATCAATTAGAATACCAACTACCACATAGGAAAAGTGGAGAAGATAATAGCTGACAAGACTGGTGCTTGCAGGGATTAGGAGCTGTTGTTGGAGCAATATCTCGCAATCTTGCAGATCTCCAGGACCGACATGGAAGCCACTTATCAATTTATGACCATCCCGCTCTTCCCCTACAGGTATTTTTCTCTTATAATATTTTAATTAGCTTATCTCTATCTTTATACGTCTTTCAAGCTATTTTTTTTTTTCTTTTTTGCTTTCAGTTTTCTTTAGATAAATTCAAATTACTTGAAAGTACTCTGTTCTATGCTTATTATGTTTGAGTTGGCCTGCAGGATCCTGTTGTTGACTCAATAAAATCAGCTGTCGACAGACTAACCCATTCAACAAACTTCCTTTACTTTTTGGGACAACATGCATTTACAATGCAAGAAGAGTTGCCTACTACTGCTGAGGAACACATCGATGATCATAGATATCATTTTATGTCTCTTCTTTTGAACTTGGCAAGCACATTTCTATATATGGTCAATACATATATTATCGTTCCGACTGCGGATGACTATTCTATGAGCCTTGGGGCAGCTGCAACAGTTTGTGGTATTGTAATTGGGGTGATGGCTGTAGCACAGATATTTTCTTCTGTATATTTCAGTGCTTGGTCCAACAAGTCATACTTCAGACCTCTGGTATTTAGCAGTATAGTTCTTTTCGTTGGAAATGTCATTTATGCATTGGCATATGATCTCAACTCACTAGCAATTCTTTTGATTGGTCGACTGTTATGTGGGTAGGTAACTATCTCCCTCCTTGCCTTTCTGTGTATGCATTAGTGCATTTCCATGCCTGATCAGACATGCAAGGGAAATTTTCCCATGTCTTGATAATGAAACTCTGCAGAAAATTTCCGAACATTTCTGTTGTTGTTGCTCTTTGACTTGTTGAGAAATATTGGTGCTTCTGCAGCTATTGTAGAAAGATCTAGTTGAGGATAAATTAATATGTTTTTTATAGATGACTTATTCTATTTAATTTATGCTGTCAACTTGTTGACATTCTTAATATTGAAATCATAGGAACGAAATGCTTGTTTTGATTATTCAAATAATTAACCATTGTTTTAAAGAATCAAATTTCCTTGTAGAATCGTACCTAACTATTTTCCACGAAGTGATGACAAAACATGTTACTTGATTTGGTCTCAAAATTATAATAGAGGTGAAGGGTTTCAGAATTCTATGCCTAAAACTCCATTTCTTTGTACTTTTTATAATTACTGACTTGCAAATGTAGTATTAGAGTCGATGCAATCAAACTGTTTTCAAGCTATGCAAGCCACTACAAGTTATAGGGGGCGTGCTTAGCTTTATTTGTTACAGTTAAATAGAGTCAAATTAAATTCTGAGTTAGAATGAAGATATTCAATTTTCATTAAGAAGCTTTTATATTATTGTTTCTATATGCATTATCTGTTTACTTAGACGTACATGTGCACACATCTATGCGCAGGCATGCTGGAAGCAGTTCCTTGTCTTGAAAATATGATTGCACTTGGATATGCTCTGACTGTATGGGTTTCCCCTTTTTATGCACTTGCAGTTTTGGTTCTGCCAGAGCAGTTAACAGGCGTTATATTAGCGATTGTGTACCAATCAAAATCCGCATGCAGGCTTCAGCAGGTTTTGTTAGTGCTAGCGCTCTTGGAATGGCATGTGGTCCTGCACTTGCTGGGCTACTTCAGACAAAATTCAGGATTTACAATATCACATTTAATCAAGACACTTTGCCAGGCTGGGTAATGGCCCTGGCATGGTTATTCTATTTAATATGGTTGTGGATCTCATTTAGAGAACCTGCTCATGAGGCTGTAGTTATCAACGTTCCAGAGGAAGCTCATGCTGGTATTTTTACCTATCCTGCTGCATACATTGCTTATCTTTCTGTTGTCTACTTTTTCTTAAATATGAATAATAGATGGTATATTATTTGTGGTTGAATTGTGCCCGTGAAACTGGAGATGTAGAAAAAGAAGTAATTGAAAATTCAGTTACAGATAATGTAAAATAAAATTTGTATTTAAGGCAAACAATAGACTATATTATAATTGGATGAATAGCGTAAAGCCCATTCATATACAATATGAAATAATATTTGTATTCAGTGAGTGATTTAACTGATAAATGATATACAATATAATGTACAATTTGGTTACATAGAAATTTGATAGACCCCTTATTATTCAGTTAGTCAGCAATTAGTTAGCAGGGGTACTGTGGTGGAATTTGTATGAGTGAGGAAGTTTGTTAATAAATATGAGAGAAGGGGGGAGGGATAATTCATTCAGAGAATTGTTTAGAAAAGAGTGGAGAGATCAGGCCTCTCGAATAGCCTGAAACTTGTTATTTCCATTCTGTTGAATATCAATACATCATTCAGTTTTCCATTGATCTTTGCCTTACAAATATTTGCTTCAATCTATCCATACTACGTCTCTTATATTATATTACATTACCCAATACTCATTCATTAACTCCTTCAATCACCATGATACAGACTCTAATTACCAGCAGGAGGCATCCACATCAGTAACAGCAACTCAGGCAACATCAGCAAGGTCAGCAGCAGCAGCAGCTTCAGGTTCCTATCAAAAATTTTGCTTCTAAGCTCCTGTTTGGGCTCCATTTTATTATAATGCATCTTTATCTCTCTTCTTTTCAACCACACATTCTCCAATAAAATAATATTACACATAAATTCAAAATTTTCCTTTTTTTTTGAGCCACACATTCTTCAAAAAAGCACCATTCCAAAATATTTTTTTTCCCAAAATTTTATTTTGATAGAACCCAAACAAGGGCTAAATTAAAATCGTAATCTAGTATCATAGTGCTGGTGTCACCATTGTGTTGATCTATGATCAAGTGATTTAGAGACGAACATTCATATCTATTTTGACATTTGTTTTGATACCCCATATGCAGATACATAAAGTTAGTATGTATTGACACACTATGTTGGTTTTTTTATGTAGATATGCACCAGCATCATTTATCTTACAAAGATTACTTGTACATAGGTCTTGAAATATTCAGGCTTCATTTATCAATATTAAATCTACATATTGCAATATCACAAATCAGATTGGAATTTGATGTCATATCTGTGGATGACAGTAGGAAATGATAATCTTGAGAAGAGTCTTGCACAGCCATTGCTTTTATCGACTGCCAAGAATGAACAAGATGAGGAAGATGATCGAGAATGTGACGAGAGTGAAGAGGCTTCAGAGGAATCTAGTCGGCCAGCAAACTCCCTAGCATCAGCTTACCGGTTACTTACACCTTCTATAAAGGTATGCCTTCTCAAATTTTACACGCGTTTTTGTAGTTGGAAATAATATTGGTGGGAAGTTTTTTTTTAAAAAAAATAGTGACTTCATAATCAAAGTCTCTCTAGCATGGACATTTCAACTAGGATAACGTGTCCGTGTCGTCGGATACTGATACTCCTTGGACACTTTGTCATGGTCATTTTTTTTTATAGAAATATTATATATTTTTAACTCAAAATTATTACTTAATAATAAATATGTACTTATATTTAAAAATTTCAACAAGAAAAATTAATAATAAGTATAAAACTAAATTTATACTATATAAATAAAAAAGTTTAAAGAATTTAATTAACGTGTCGACGATGTTTCGTGTTAGTAGTCTTTTGAAAAATTGTGTGTTGGCGTCGGTGCTTCATAGATCAAAGGTCATTCTTCGCATTTATGTTTGTAGATATCTGTTTTCTTTCTGGCTGGGAGTTTGAACTATTTGGTTCATAGGCCAGGCTGTCTTTTAGAGATGGAAGAGGGTAAAAAGCTGGGGATGATCTAATTTATCTTGAATCAGCATAAATATAGAGAAAGATTTCCATATGCACGAGTGCAGCTACTAAATTATCCCTTCTTAGTTGATATTCACGAGATTGTGTTTTTAACAAGTGCATAATATCGTACGTGCACATTGATTAGGCCGTACAAGTTTGTTAATGACAAGAAATTTCTATTTACTATACAATAATATTATCTATTTTCCAAATTAGGCTCTACAAGGCTATATTAACCTAACCCGTGAAGTATTCTACGGTGTTTTCAGGTTCAATTGTTGATATACTTTATGCTTAAATATGCAATGGAGATTCTACTTTCAGAATCAAGTGTTGTCACAACGTACTATTTTGGTTGGACTACAAGCAGGGTGTCAATTTTTCTTGCATGCCTTGGCCTAACGGTTCTTCCAGTTAATGTTGTTGTTGGAAGCTACATAAGCAATATGTTCGAGGACAGGTAATTTCTTTTTGATATTTCCAGGCTTAGAAACATCTAATTTATAGACAGAAAATTGATCAGTGCTTGGCTTTCTTGTGCCATGAGTATCCCCAAACATGTTTGCTTGTGCTTATAAGTATTTTTCTTTCATGTAATGTAACTAAGAAAGTTGCTTAGACTTTACTGTCAAAATACTTATTTTCTGCTTTGACCAATGAATGGCTTTAGTCCGCTGCTAAAATTTGATAATGTTATAATGCCATTTGATCCTTTCCCGCTTCTTGCTTGAGGAAAAAACTATAAATTACTCAAGATCGCAACTCAACCTTATGGTAACTGCCAGCGAGTACCTTTCATCTGGATTCTCTTTCGTCTCAACACACTGATCAATTTTATCATTTCATCTGTTTTACAGGCAGATTTTACTGGCATCAGAAATTGTGGTCTTGTTGGGGATACTTCTCAGCTTTCAAATATTCATCCCATACTCTGTGCCACAATACGTCTGCTCAGGGCTCATAATGTTCGTATCGGCTGAAGTATTGGAAGGTAACCTTCCTATGTTCTGTAAGACTTGCATGTTTATACACACTATAGAAGCATCGATGGAAGCAATAGCTCTGCTAGAGTTGAAGAGATGTCTCTGATGGAATACACAGATATTCCTGCGTATGGATAACGTTGTGGATTGATTCTTTTGGTTCTGGAATTGCTCATGAATTTTAGGCTCAAACATTAGTTGACAATCTTAGTGTAGGTCCACTTCCTTCGATAGAGTACTGTTGCTCAATCTTCATGTAACAAACAACTACTTTGATTATTGAGCGAGAAGAATACGATAATCTGTTGCATTATGAGTGGCTAGCAGTTTCTGGGGTTAGTAGGATTATTAAGACATGTGTTTGTAGGTTGCCCTGATTGTACTACCTTTGACCTTAATGATTCATTTAGTGACTATTTTATTTCTCGTTGAGTGATTGAACTGGTAAAGTATGTCATTTGCGTAAGCTTGCAATCTATTTCACTTTGACTTCTGATAAATGGACTTTTACAAAAAATAGCAAAATTTTTCCACGTGAACGATAGTTGACCATAAGGTTGTAGTATTCATTCAAGGTTCGATTCTCGAAATTAATTTTCTAAATAAATTTATTTGGGCAGTGGGATTGGTTGTATAGTGTCTCAATAATTTTGATTTCACGATCTGATATTCTTATCATTTTGGGGGGTCAATTTGTCACTCATCTCCCACAAGTGTAGTTTGGTTGTTAAATGATTTTTTTTTCTGATAATCGTGGATGTCCGGGCCAATTTGCATGCACCTCGACTAATCCCACGAGGCTCTGAAGTTTACGGTCGGGTACTCACCTCAGTGGTCCTAAGGGGACTCGAACTGGTGACTATTAGAGAGCAAATCCAAGGCCTGACCAATTGGTTGTTAAATGATCTACCTTGATTTCTATGCAAATTGATTCGTGAATTTGGTATGAAAAAAATGACTAATTGTAATTGACACTGATCTATATGTCGTTTTGATTTCATGAAGTAATCTCTTTTCATTCCAGGGGTCAATTTGTCACTCCTATCCCGAGTAATGTCGTCCACGCTTTCTCGTGGGACGTTCAATGGTGGGCTTCTGTCCACTGAAGCTGGTACACTTGCTCGAGTGGTTGCAGACGGAACAATCACCCTAGCTGGGTACCTGGGGGAGAGCAAGCTCTTGAATGCCACCCTTCTTCCATCCCTCCTGATTTGTGTCGCGTCTATCATCGCCACCTGCTGCACTTACAATTCTCTCTACTGATTCCGACTCTAATCTTAGACAATGTCCTAAACTTCAAACTCATCGGCATTTTTGTGCATTCTCTCTCGTTTCTCGTAGATTTATCCGGTCTCGTATGTGATGCTTTAAATTACATGGGCAATACTGTATTCTTGTCATTGGACCCAATATATTTTAAGCTCTTTAATGATACAGGTACTGCATTATTACTTCCAACATATTTAACTTTCTTGGAGTTCGTTTTGTAATTGGATTGAAGTGGTGTGGATATTGTTATATATTTTGGCCTCAAAAGCTTATGTTGCAGATACGTGGGTCGATGTGTAAATCTATGTTGGACTGTCCATGGTGGTGCGACAGGCTTGGATTTGGGATAGCTGAGGCACAGGCTACGGCTGGGGCTGGCCGGAACTGGAGACCGTGCTTTGCGAAGCCGGCTTTATGTTTGATTTGAAAATGAAGAAGATGAGAGCCGGAACAATTTGAATCATTGCTGAGATTGTTATAGGTGGAAAAATGTGACATTCTATGTGATAAGCTTAGTACACGAATACTCTTCTTTTAAATTGTTAAAAAATTTCGTTGAGTTGGTATTTCTGTATAGTCGGCGTCGATAATCTTTGACTATAACAAGGTATCGTGCTAATACTATAATCATATCAGAATTATACTGATTAGTCATAGCTAGTTGCGTACAATTAATGCATTGAATACTCCCTCAAAATCCAACATAGATGAATTTATGGTCTTGTTGGGTCCCAAAATTAAATAAATACGATTCAACTCTAGTAGTTGAACGTCACTAATTTCCACTTCTGTCCACATGATTGCCAGCTGATTCAATTAAAAATTGTTGAAAAAATGCAAAAAAATAATTTGTGGGTTTGAAAATCCAGCCGATGTTACTTGAGGTAGGAGGTATAATAGGAATTATGAGTTCAAAATCTAAAACTACAAGTGAAAGCAATAAAAGAAAAAGAGTGGTGACGGAGAATATGAGAAGAATTTCGATATGAAGGAATTACTTCATCAATTTCACAAAGATATGCTTGCTTTTAATTTCACAAATTTTTTTTTAAAAAGTAATTAATATATTTGAAAACTTAATTTTTTTTTAATATTTATCTAATATACTCGTAAAATAAATAATTGTTCAGATATGAATAACTCATATTTGTTAACAAAAATGCACATTAATTATACTATCAAAAAGGAAAGTAACTTATAATTTGAAGCAGAAGAAAAAGGAAAGTAGATCTATCTTTATGAGACAGAGAGAGTATAAAACATTAAATAGTATTAAAGAGAAAAAAAAACTTAAAATAAATTAAATTTTTGAAAAATTCAAAATAACACACGAAGTTTCAAAGTCCCAACACGCAACATCAAACAGACACACACATATTAATGCACAATTAGACGTTGAAAATATAAACAAATGATTACAATAATAAATCCAAACACGTAACATCGAACAGAAATGCACATATTAATGCACAATTAGCGTTGAAAATATAAACATATTATAACAAAAATAAATGAATGCTTTCGACAACCTAAACTTTGTTTCTTTTCTCACTCCATCTTTGAATGATTTATTTCTACGTATCGACCACTTAAAAAGTTTTATTCTACTTACCCTATTTCTATCTGATTTATTGCTACATCTTTCGTGAAAAACATTCGAAGAAGGTTAAATATATTTGCATCACAGTTTTTAATAAGTAGACTGTATTAAATTCCGTGAAAGGTTCATAACCTTTACAGATTATCACATTTGTGTTTCAAACTTTTTTCATCGAGTTCTTATTCTTAAATCAACATAAATTGTTACTCATTATGGTGTCACTACCAAATTTTCTTTAAGATAAGAGTAAAAACACTCACTGAAATATTAAAAATAAGAACACAAAAGTTAAGATATAAGTTTGATAATGAATGAAGGTTAATTTATGTAATTAAAATATAATTAGATTATAAGCAACTATAATCAATGTTCTCTAAATAAGATCGGAAAGGCAACTTAGACCATTAGATAAGAATTTTAGGAAACCGACAAGATTATATATATATGAAAAAACAGAAAGAAACTTGATAAAGTAGTCGATTCTGGATAAATGAGACACATGTTCACCCAAGTCAATGAATAATGTTATTTATAGTCAACGACTGCAACAGTCATTATGTGTGACAGCTTTTTATTCTAGACACAATTTTCTGTAATTTTGTTATCTCAAATAACGAGCTAATAATCAATGAATTTTCTTGACAAGGCTTGTTTCATATCCTTAAATTCGGACAACTTTAGCCTCGTATCACAACTTTTGCATTTTCTTGAATTACTTCTGTTTGTCAGACACGTTTACATCACTCTTGCACGTCGTGTTCATCGCCCGCCTAAAAAACCCCAGAAATAATCTTTTTGCTGTCAAAATTTATAGACGTCTGAATCGTTGGCCCCTTCAAGAATCTTCTATATAAGATTAAGTTGAATTAGCCATTTTCTTGCAGGATTTAATTAAGTTTTTGTATTGCATAAAAAAAGTGCTTTTTTTGCAGATTATAAGTGCATGAAGATTATGAGAAAAATGATGGGTTTTGGGCTCTGGAGATTGTTTACTACTGCAATTCTCCTGTTTCATGGCTTCTGTATTGCTGAAAAAGGTACCAAATTAATTATTTTTCCTGGCTTTTCTTTCCTTTTTTCCTTATTTCGAATGCAGTTTCTTCTTTCAGTTTCTGCATTTTTTGTTGGCTAATTTCCTTCCGCTCATAGCATGCAAATTACACTCAAAATTTTGATTATATGTAAGAAGCCCTATAATCTGATATTTCCTTGTGTTTATCCATTTTTTTTGCTTTTCTCTTACATACTTTCTTAATTGAAGTGCTTGCCCAGAAAATCCTAAAAAGTTCATGGGACTTACAAATTTTATCATAATTTGTTAAAACTTTTATTCGCTTTGGGAAACGTCCCTGGTCGATCGACTATATGAATATTCCTTCTGTGTCATTCTTTTGTGTTCATTACTTGATATATCGATAGAAAAATGCATGAATTAACATAATTTATCTAAAAGTTTAAACTCTAAGTGATCGTGAATCATTATTAATTCATCCTCGAAAATAATCTTATTGTAGCATCAAATTTGACTTTGAATTATTCTGCACAAATCAAATTTCCTCATTACATCCATATTTATGAATAATGACTCACCTCTTCTGCCATGTTATTTAAAAAGTTAAAAGTTATTTTTAAATTAAAAAGCCACTTTTAAGTATTTTTGGATAATAATCTGAAAATGTTTTGTCCCGTTACAAATCCATTAGTGGGAGTTACATTTTCTAAAAGTTATTTTATAACAAACGAGTCTTAAATATTTTTTCAATAAATAGATTCAGAAAGTACATTCGATGTAGCGCACAAAAATTCATAAAGTAGACTTCAAATTTATAGAGAGTACTAAAACTAATTTCAATGTTTCCTCTTGTTTACAGCACCAAACTACACTTTCATGCACGAAGCAACCTTAGCTCCAGAAGTGTCCTATTATGACTACATTATAGTTGGTGGAGGTACCGCCGGCTGCCCATTGGCCGCCACTCTCTCGCAAAACTCCACCGTACTCCTCCTCGAACGAGGCGGCTCTCCATACGGAAACCCTAACATCACCAACCTAGATGCATTTGGTGAAGCCCTTTCTGACCTCTCTCCATCATCTCCTTCTCAACGCTTCATCTCCGAGGACGGCGTGATAAGCGCCCGAGCCCGGGTGTTAGGAGGCGGAAGCTGCCTGAATGCTGGGTTTTACACACGCGCCTCCCCACTGTACGTGGATGACGCCGGCTGGGATGGGCTGCTGGTGAACGAATCCTATAGGTGGGTGGAAAAGAAAGTGGCATTTGAGCCTACCATGAGACAGTGGCAATCTGCTGTAAGAAATGGATTGTTGGAGGTTGGTGTCACTCCTTACAATGGATTTACATATGATCATTTGATTGGTACAAAGGTTGGTGGAACAATTTTTGATGTTGAAGGGCATAGACACACTGCAGCTGATCTTCTTGAATATGCAAACCCTAATGGACTCACTGTCTTATTACATGCTTCTGTTCATAAAATCACGTTCAGAATCAAAGGTGAGTATTAATCCCCCGTTGGTTCAGATAAAAATCAGATTTTTAGTAAATTTTGATAAAAGATGATGAAATATGTGGTTGAAAGATGACAAAACTTGCAGGTCCTGTGAAATATGTAATTGAAATAAGTTCGAGGAAAAATAAGTTATAGAAAATGGAGGCCAAATAGGGGTTAAATATATGTTGCACGTTTGATAGCATAATACACGAGTCTATTCTAGTAATTTTCTTTTCATCTTATCAAACATGTGAGTAGTGTTCACTCTCAATTGGTTGAAATTCGTGATCATCAATGAGATATGCTCGTGTGCACCTATATATATTGTGAGTTTACATTACTTACGAGCTTGATAGGGAATATATAAGTTAAAATTTTGTTCAGTATATTGTTTAATCTTGTATAGTACTACATGCCAAAAACATGCACTTCAAGTTTTGATCAAACATGAATGGAATGCTAATGATTGTTCTAACTACACAGGAAAAGAGAGGCCAACAGCTCAAGGAGTGGTCTTTAGAGATGCATCAGGAATTAAGCACAGAGCATATTTGAAGATTGGGCCAAAGAATGAGATTATTGTATCATCTGGGGCACTTGGAAGCCCACAACTTTTAATGTTGAGTGGTATAGGCCCAAAAGAGCACCTCGAGGCCCATAACATTTCAGTTGTTTTGGACCTGCCCTTAGTGGGCGAAGGAATGTCAGATAACCCAATGAATGCAATATTTGTACCATCTCCAAATCCCGTTGAGGTGTCCCTCATTGAGGTTGTTGGGATCACAAGATATGGAAGCTACATCGAAGCAGCTAGCGGGAAGAATTTTAATAGCATCTCTCTTCAGAGAGACTTCGGGATGTTCTCTCCCAAGGTAATCCGCTTACTCCCTTGTGTCATCATTTGTTTAAATGCTTTTCCTTTCTTACTGATTGGCAATCATATCGCAGTCGAATAGTATCAAGGGCTTTTGGATTTTTGGGTGTTTGTTCGCCCAATGTTAGGCCCAACTCCTCTTTCATGCATAGGGCAATATTAATGTCTAATTCTTTGAACCTTAATTTATAGATTGGGCAGTTATCAACAGTTCCACCAAAGCAAAGAACCCCAGAAGCTCTAGCCAAAGCCATTGATGCAATGCAACGACTTGAGCCAGCAGCATTTAGAGGTGGATTCATCTTGGAGAAAATCATGGGCCCAATCTCCACAGGCAATTTACTCCTCAGAAACAAGAACCCTAATGACAATCCATCAGTCACATTCAATTACTTCAAAGAACCACAAGATTTGCAAAGATGTGTAGATGGGCTCAAAATAATTGAAAATGTGATTGAATCAAAGTCATTTTCTCAGTTCAGATATGATTATCTTTCACTGCCTGTTCTTCTTAACATGACAGCCAATGCACCTGTGAATCTGCTTCCCAAACATGCCAATGTTTCAATTTCATTGGAGCAGTTTTGCAAGGATACTGTGATGACTATATGGCATTATCATGGTGGGTGTCAAGTTGGGAGAGTGGTTGATACAGATTATAGGGTTCTTGGAGTGGATGCTTTGAGGGTTATTGATGGATCCACCTTTAATTACTCTCCTGGAACAAATCCTCAAGCTACTGTTATGATGCTCGCAAGGTAACATCAGTTAACACGTACATTGCATGTTTAGTATGCAATACTGCACGACACCATGTTCATGACAACGGGTGATAACTGAAAATTTCAATTGCTACCTTAATCTTGTCTACTGTGCCTCACCAAACAAGCTAATAAGGCAACATTCTTGTGCACATAGATGATTCTTTTTCTCTTTTGATTTCTGTCATGAAGCGGTGAAATTCATTGCTTTTGTGGTATGCACAACACCATTTACAAGATTTTAACTTCTTTTTTCTTTCTTTCTTATCACTTGCCTGAGAGAGCTATAAATGTTGCTAAAAACTCTTAAGTGAAAGTCGCCAATTAATTTTCACCACACATTGCATAGGATATACAATTACTACCAACTTTTTTATCACTCATTTAGTGAGACCCCCATTACTCTTTTTTTATCAAATCAGCTTTTTAATTCTCCCAAACAACCACTTGATCATATTAATATGCTTAATGAAATAAGCCAATAGGGTACTGTTTGGTACGTCACAAGACAATAACAAACATATTTTAACCTTTTTTCTTCGTTTATCACGACGAACCCTACTCAGTCTAGTATGGGAATCCTATACATCACTTTTTTCTTCTAGTTTAAAGTATGTGTAAAATTCCTTAGAGGTGTTTCAATGTTTCTTAACATTTTTATTTTTTATTTTTTTTGGCAGGTATATGGGAGTAAAGATATTGAAGGAGAGACTTGAAGGACAATAAAGAAATTGATAGATTTTTTTCTATATTTTTAAGGTGAAGCAATATTGTCATGAAGTAAATTGTCAAGAAATTGGTTGTAAAGCAATTTCTTAGAATTATTATCTATTTTTGAACTAATCACAAAGTGTTATAAAAAGAGAGAAAAGAGAAGAGAATTAGAGAAGTCAATAGACTTGTGTGTATTATAATGAGAACCAAAACCCTATATTTATAGGGAATGAATATAAATACACGTGGTAATAATATCTAGGGTTGCAGGGGTACAAGTGTCATTCACATTAAACTCTAATTTACTTTCATTTTACAACACTCCCCCTTGAATGACACATTACATAATATCTGTCTCGTTAAAACTTTATTTGATAAAAATCCAATGGGACAAAAAAATCAAAACAAAAGAAAAAGAGTATAGTTATTTTGAAGTATTAAAGATAAATACTACCTCATTAAAACTTTGTTAGGAAAATTCAGTGGAACAAAACCTAAGCGAAAGAAAAAGAGTACAGCTACTCCCTCTGATGTTGATCACTGAAAATCTCTGAGTCGACGCATTCCAATCGCGTGAACCAATTTCTTGAATGTAGATATTGGCAGTGCTTTTGTAAATAAATCAGCCAAATTGTCACTTGAACGAATTTGTTGAACCTCGATGTCACTATTCTTGTGAAACACGTGTGTATGAAAGAAATTTGGAGAAATATGCTTCGTCCCGTCTCCTTTGATATAATCTCATTTGAGTTGTGCAATACAAGCAGCATTATCTTCATACAAAATTGTTTGACTATCTTTTGTTGAAATTAATATGCATGATGCTTGTATATGATTGGTCATATTCCTCAACCATACACATTCTCGGCCTGCTTTATAGACTGCAATAATTTCGGAATAATTTGAGGATATTGCTGTCAATGACTGCTTCACAGATCTCCATCATATAGCCGTTCCTCCACGTGTAAACACGTATCCTGTTTGTGATTTAGCTTTATATGGGTCAGAACGATAACCTGCATCTGCATATCCCACTAAAGCAGATCCCGACTTTTGAGAATAAAATAATCCCAAATCAATAGTACCCTTTGGGTAACGAAAAATATGTTTAACACCATTCCAATATCTTTGTATTGATGTAGAGCTATATCTTGCAAGGAAATTTACAGAAAATGCTGTCGGGTTGAGTGCAATTTGTAAGATAAGTTAATGTTTCAATTGCACTAAGATATGGTACTTCAGGACCAAGAATCAATTCTCTATCTTCTAGCGGAAGAAAATGATCTTTTTTTATATCAAGTGATCGAACAACTATAGGTGATGTCACTGGATGTGCATTATCCATATAAAAGCGTTTTAAGATTTTTCTATATATGTAGATTGATGAACAAATAATCTTGCTAGAAAATGTTCAATCTGCAATCCGAGACAGAATTTGATTGTTCCAAAATCTTTCATCTCAAAATTCATTTTTCACATAATCTGCAGTTTTGTTGAGCTCTTCAGGAGTCTCATATTATAATATTTTTTGAGGGTGAATGTCTTTTAAGTTATGATATTAATCACACAAAAAATATATCTCGTTAAAACTTTATTAAGAAAAACCATGCGGGAAAAATCCTAATGAAGGAAAAGGAGTACATCATTCTTTTTAAGTACGCTATAAGAGTTGTGTCATTAAAAACCCTTGCCAGGAAAATCCAATAAGACAAAACTTCAGTCAAGGAAAAAAGAGTACAACACGTATTTGCTCCCCAATTGATAATATCACTTGAATTATGCTTCAAGCATATTAAATCTTTGCAAAATAGTATCAAAATCATTAATTGTCTATAATCACATTTATTACAACATATCAAATTTCATGTAATGTCAAGCTAATGAAATAGAGACTTGTGATTACATCCACCACATGATAATTTATACAAGTCTTCGCGAAATTCATTGTGAAGAGTCGTATATTTCATATTACGACTTTACTTTTTCCATTTTCATTTTGTATAAATATACACATTTATGTGTTCAGATTGTATATCCAAAAAACTTCATGTTTCTCTAGTAAATTCTTTCACTAGGATCGCATCATTTTATTTGGCCAATCATTACTTCGATCGATATATTTCAACAAATTTATTTCGATTCATCGCTACTCATAATATGATGCAGCACATCATGTGCAAAAGTGTTGTCGGCAACTTTTTCTTATCTTTTTCAATTCTATTTTTTCTGTAATGACATAACTTATTAGCATATCTCAATTTTCATTATTTCATGTTCATGAACCTCTTCAGGGCTTTTATAATATGTTATGTTTAAATACTTATTAAGAGTATATGCCTCCTCAATAAGAGCATCTTTACCACTTGTTCCATTTTCATTTAGAGGATTTTGTAATAAAATCGAATATCATCACGCTTCAGGCATACCATAAATTTATCAAATATAATATTAAATATTAACGAATTGTCCTTCCAAAAGTCAATTCGATTTGGATCATTTAAAGCTGATTGTGTGATATTGTTAATCTCTTTGGTCAGTAAATGCATCTAAATGAATTATTCTTCGAACTTCTGGTTCGAATTGTCTTTTATGAGAATTTAGATAATGATACATTTGTACATTATTTTCAGTTTTTTAATTTCTCCCCATAATACCGAGAGAATTGTCGAATCAAAATGACAATCATTTTTTCAGCGTTATAAAATATCACACATTTGGAATAAGGGTTCAAACTACGCATTTATTCTCAGCATTCCTTAGTTTCCATCTCAATGCATTGTGGTGGATAAATTTTACATATACTGCACTATCGAAATAATTTGGTAGAAAAATTAGGTTCTGACCATAAGCCAAGTTATAACTAGGAGAACTATGATGTTGGCATGATCCGTAATGACTTTTCGTAAATTGAAATGGGAAGTATTTGGTTCTCAATTAAATTAATTGAAAACGTTTAACAAACAATAATGCTAAATCATTTATCGACATCTCAACTAACACTTATTAAAAAGTTGAGATTTAGGATCACTAGTATTAAAAAGACACATCATCTTAATTGTATAATCTAAAAATTATACTCATAATTTGAGTAGCACTTTCGCAAACTTCACGCAACACCATGCAATCATCTAAATTTGTATCAAATCTATTAGATACAAATAATATTTAGATGGTCAACGTGGAGGGTGACGGAGCCCCATATATTACCCTAATTAATTTTTAGAAATATAGAAAATTCAATCATTATTTAACTAGTAACGATTAATGACCAATTTTCAATAAAGAAAACAAATATCAAATATGAATTCTTAGATTGAAGAATCTTCTGGTTCTTCGTTACATGTCCATTTGAATTCTCATTTCGCATCATTATTGATCCAGTAATGATCTAACTGGTAATGCTAAACAAATTGAACATCTGGTTCAATATAATATTTATTTTAATTGTACTAAACATTTTAGACACTTAGCATATTTCTCTTTAATTTAGTAGAGAATACTATCAATAGTGAAATTGTATTCTCCTACATTACGAAGTATTGATTTTTCTATAATATCAAAATAATATTCTTGTGGAATATTGATATATACCTAGTTATGATTATTCACAAATAATAGAACAATATTCTTCAAGAATATTGATATATTTAAATTAATCATAACATTTTTCGAAAATATTAATATTTATAAATGTGTGCTTCTTTAGGAACACAATACGATATTCTTCAGGAATGCAAATATATATTATTTTTGCTTCTTCTGGAGCAATATATCAATTTTTTTTAAATGTTGGAAGCGCAGTGTCATGCTATTCACTGTATTCAGGAGTAATAACATAATATTATTTAAAATAATAAATTGTATAAGAATTTACTCTTGGAGAGTAAAAACATCATTTTTAATTATGTTCTTCGGGAGCAAGCGAAATATAATTAGAATATAAATAATAGTATGCTACTTCAGGAACAACAATAAATTATTATTTAGAAAATTTTGACTCTTCAAGAGTATATTTTTTATGATAATATAATATTTACAGAGTTGCGCTTCTTCAAGAACCACATGTCAATATTCTTTTGAAAAAAAATATAATTTATACTCTTCACGAGCAAGTAATATTCTTCTAGAATATTAATTATAATGTTGTGCTACTTCAGGAGTAACAATATAATAAATTATTAATTTAAAATTTATAGAAGAATATCTAAGAAAAATTTA